ATACCTTTCCCGACTTAACTGCTGATGCTCATAATTTCAGCCATTATCTTCAGCACACAGACAGTTTTTCTCCAAAAGTAGGAGTAACCAATAAAAATTCTTGGTTAAACGTTTGAACATTTATACTCTGATACACTCTTAAAAATAAAGGTGCTTCATAAAGAATCTTTAACATCTGAAAAGGCAAGAAAGAGATGGTCCTTTAAAGAACCTTTGACGGAATGGTTCTTTGTGGAACCAAAAATGGTTCTTCTGTGGCACCACTGTGCAGAACCTTTTAAGCACCTTTATTTTTAAGAGTGTACAAGGTTTCCCAAACTCAGGAACTGCAGGAGGGTCATCATAAGTGGATGAAAATTAATTAATTAAATGTAATAAATAAATAAGCATACTAAAATATGAAATGTTTTTTGAGTATATATTCAGGAGTATTTTTCTACAGTCTTTACACATCTTTACTTTAACTATAGCACATATGTGTTCATATACTTAATTCTCCTTCTCATCTTTCATAGACCAGATGAATGACCGACGGACACAGCTTGGCTCACACCTCTCCACTGCCTTCTAAACGATTTGCTATTTCTGCATGCTCACAAAAGAGTATAAACAGTGAAATAGACTTTCTGATGCTTCAGGAAGACCACGACCATGATCAGAGGAGGCAAACTGAAGCGATATGTCTGATCTGTCAAGATAACTCATACGCCTTGGACCTTGTACACATGTAAATGTGCATATTACTACATCTATTTCTGGACTACTGGAAAAGTCAAAGTATTGCATGCTCAGTAATGCTACAGTTACATCAATCCACAACAATACATTCAATCCTAGTTTGTTTCATAGTTGGTTTCATTTGTCAGTCTACTATATTGATGTTATTTTTCATATGTGAACAGTATCTTACAGTAAACTTTGTTGATACAGAACAGTTTCTTAATTTCTTTCCATTTCCAGTATGAAGTAAATATATATTTTAATTGAGATTGAGCTAAAATGGTCAAAAACATTTATTGGGCAAAGTACTGCATGTAAAAAAAATAAAAATAAAAATGCTCACCAAAAAATGTAAATCACCCTTTACATCATTACCCTGAAAATATACTCACCCTCAGGCTGTTCAAGATGCAGAAAAGTTTGTTTCCTCATCAGAATGGATTTAGCATTACATCACTTGCTCACCAATGGATCCTCTGCAGCGAATGGGTGCCGTCAGAATGAGAGTCCAAACAGCTGATTAAAAACACCCTAATATTTCACAACAAGACTCCAGTCTATCAATGAATGGCTTGTGAATCAAAAAGCTGTGTTTGGAAAAAACAAATCCATCATTAAGGTGTTTTAACTTTAAACTGGCCAAAAAACGGTCCATAATAACACAACCCTCAGTGAAAAAGTCCATCCACTGTTGTCCTCTCGCTTCAAAATCCATACGTCAACTGGAACGTTTTGGACTGTAAAAAGTACTTGACCCGTGCATATTTCTCTCCTGATTCAGACAAGACAACTTTTCAATGGAAAAAGCAATATTATGGATAGAGAGACTTGTATTTTATGCAGAAGCAATGGTTTGAAGCTAAAAAAATCTTAATGATGGATGTTTCTTTCAAACATGCAGCTTTTTGCTTCACATTAGATGGACTGGACTATCAGCTGTTTGGACTCTCATTCTGACGGCACCCATTCACTGCAGAGAATCCAGTGGTGAGCAAGTGATGTAATGCTACATTTATCCAAATCTGTTCTTGGATGGATTTTCATTTTTGGTGAACTGTTCCTTTAAGATAACACTGTCTCACTTATCTGCCTATTTTCCAAAAAGTGTTTTTTTTTGGTGACATGCTGACATGAAAATGCTGTTTGAGCTGACAACAGTACATTTTAAGAGGGCAATTTTGCTCATTTATATTTAGTTCATAAGTTATATTATGGGAACTATATTATCTACTATAACAAAACAGAAGAAAACAATTCCAGACACAAATGTTTCCGTACGGCCCACTTGAGCTTTTCAATTTGCATTTTGTTTCTGTCTAAGTTTCTGTAGGAGTGTGTGCCACCATTTGGCTAAAGCATTAAGCATTCACAGACTTCTCTCTAAATTAAAACCAAAGAAATGTGGTAGAGATTTTCGAACGTCTGCTGAAGATTAAAACAAGCCAGTCTTCTTAGTAAAAAGAAAGAGCTTATATTAGCACAAAAACAGGACTTTCTGGTGAACGAGATTTGAAGGCTGACTGGGTGTATTCCTGTCACAACCAAAATGAATATTCGGAAAACAAATCAAATACACAAGCTACACAGGGTTTAGGCTACTTTATGAAGGGTCCACAGTGAGATGAAGGTTGTATTTATTTGTATCTAAATGGCATTTTCATTGCAGTTCCACAACAGACAGTTGCAGCAGTGCATGTAAGAACAAGAGCAAGTGGGTAATTAATTAATTAATGAATAAAATAAGAGGTCATCCGACGTGACGTCGAGAGTGACCGACTGAAAGGGAACCAGGGTTGGTTGACACAGGGTTAAGTTTTTTGTTAAAACAAATCTTCTCTCTAAAACTTTTAAATATTATAAAACTAATATTCTGTACACTATTGTTTAAATGTTTGGGGTCAGTAAGACTGTTGTTTTTAGAAAGAAATTAATACTTTTCTTCATCAAGGATGCATTAATTGATCAAAAATGACAGTAAAGACATTTATAATGTTACAAAAAAAATTATATTTCATATAAATGCTGTTCCTTTGAACTTTGTATTCATCAAAGAATCCTGAAAAATGTATCAGTTTCCAATATCAAGCAGCACAAATGTTTTCATCATTGATAATCAGAAATGTTTCTTAAGCAGCAAATCAGAATATCAGAATGATTTCTGAAGGATCATGTGAAACTGAACACTGGAGTAATGACTGCTAAAATTCAGTTTCACAATCACAGGACTGAATTTCATTTTATATTCAAACATTAAACAGTAATTTTACATTGTAATACAATTTACTTTGTTTTTGATCAAATCAATTCAGCCGTGGTGAGCATAAAAGGCTTCTTTTAAAAATCTTACTGACATGAAGTTTTGTGTAAAGGCAGTGTAAAATGTTAACATTTTGTGAGAAATGTTAAAAGCTTCTGAGAAATTGTAAAAGAGTTGAAACATGGTTAGCACATGGAGCATACAATTAAATCATTATCCCCATTGAGATAAAAGCATTATTTTGTCACAAACAAATGAATAAAATTCATGTTCAGTGTTTCTTGACTTTGCATTTGCACATTGTTAGCTTATATCAATAAAGCACAAGTAGCCAACGTCTGCAGTTAATCTGTTAAAGAGTGTTAAAAGCATCTGCTGTGAACAAACATCTGATAAACGTCTTTAAAAAGTCAGTTTTATATTCATTCTAAATCACAAACATCAAAAATATATTTTCTAAATGTCTATAGACAAATGAGCAAACACTAAAAAATACGTCTGTAAATATGTTTAGGATGTAAACATGCAAATCAAATGCACCAATTACAAAGAATAAAAAGTGTGGCAACCAATTGTGCCATGAGTTGCAGTTTTGCAATTAATTCTCATTCTTTCCTACACGTTGTTTTATTCCTGCCAAGGTTAGCCTTTATCACAGATGTCTGTGAACATCAAAGTACTGTTTTTGATTTGCGCTGGCGTTTTTCCACATGGATTTTTCCTGTAGAGCATTCCTGTCTTCTAGTCGGTTGCCCTTTCACAAGGGAAAACAGCGTTTGGCTCTCCATTATTAGGAAACTCTGTTGTTGACCACTCCCTAGGTTCCTAGTATCAAACAGACTTTCGGTATGCCTAATATTTTGGATTTACACGGTTTTGTTTCTCAAGCTGCCCAGCACAATAGAACAAGTACAGAATGAACGACAACTCCATACCATATTAACATATAAATACATGTGTAAATAGATAATCAGATGTTGTAACTGGTTCAAACAGTCAAAACATTCCGTATGCATGCATTTTTCTAGCCACAACTAGCCAAAAATGAAACTTAAGAGTGTCTTTACTGTAATTTCCAAAACTTCAAACGTGGCAAATGCTTACCACGCAATGGAAAAGAGTGTGTAAATAGGCTCACAGCTCCCTCTAGAGGTCTTCTGCTCAGTAAACAAGACAACGTCAACACTACAGAACATAAACGCAAAGCCAAAACTGTGAGTGTGTTTTACTTCCTTAGATTTTTATTTAAAAAAATGAAGTGGTCTCTCGCCAACAGATTTTTGAGATTCTCCTTTTCACCTAATTTCTGTTGGGGTGTGGCCATTTTACGTTGAATGTGCGAGACTTCCGGTGTCTTATTTCGGCTAAACAAAAACAGTCCGTAATGCTGCTTAATGTTGCAAACCAGTATTTGTCATTATGTTATTTTAATTATCATAGACACATTGGTTTGTAACGCAAACAGTTTTACTACTTACTGCACTTTTCTTTTTGTTGTTTATTTTACATATATGAATCAGAAGTCTCTCAGGTGCAGTTACCCTGCTTTGAAAAATAAGGGAAATATTCGATTTGTACTGTTTTTTTTGTTGTTGTACTGATACCCTTGTGAAAAAGAAGTGCACTTAACTGTATTGAAATTATGCACTTTTAGTGTAACTTAGCCTACTTCAAATCTGAAATCTTTTTAAAAACTGTAGGCCTACTTGCAGATAATACTAGTTGCTGGTAGCCATTGACTTGCATAATTCCCCCATACTATGGAAGTCAGTGCAACTGTTTGGTTACCAACATTCTTCAAAATAGCATCTTTTATGTTAAACAAAATAAAGAAACTCATACAAGTTTGGAACAACTTGAGGGTAGGTAACTGATGATGTTTCCTTTTTGGGTGAACTATCCCTTTAAGTAGGACATAAATGCATGTCATTTTCATTGGAAGTTGTATGTCATGTATTTAAATATATTTGTAAAAAGTAATATAATAAGATATTAAAATATAATACGGATGCAAACAAGCCACTGAAGCATAATATTTGTATTTCTTTTTTTTGTGTGTGGTAATTTCTCATTTTCCAAATCTCCTCAGAGTTGGAAAATGAGGCAGCCTCTATTCTCAACATGAATCGCAAAATTTTTCAGACTCACTGAGATGACAGATTGGCTGGCAGATCATAAGGCGTCTCTGAGATCAGGCCGATTTAATGTCATATTTGATTTATTACCACAGATGGGGCGCAGGATTCCTCAAAGGCAGTAGCTGGATATACAGAGCCAAAAAAAAAAAAACCATCTTGGCTGCTAATGTTATGTCATGGTCTGTATGGTTCTTACAGAAGTCTCACAGAACTTGAGTCCACCAGTCCACTGAGAGCTGACGTAAAAGCTGAACGTTTGAACATTGTGTCCTCTTTTAGAGTTTTTTTTTTTTTGTAATCTGCATTCAAGCCACATTGAGGTTTTTATACACCTGAACCTTGTCCTTTATTGTTTTAGATACTTGCATTGCATTTCTGCAGCCACTAGATCAGTCTTTCTCAATCCTGGTCCTGCGGTTCAATAAAAAAAAATTAAAAAAAACAGCTATTAGGAAAAATATGTTTTTTTCCCCCCTGTACAATAAGTCAATGGTACCAAAAATGGTTATCAACATTCTTAAAAATATCTTCCTTTATGTCCGGAGAAGAAATTCATACTGGTTTGGAACAACATGAGCGTAAATCAATGATGAGAATTTATTTATGGGTAAACTATCCCTATAAGTACATAAGAATTAAAAAATCTGATTGGCTGAAAGGTGTGCCTTTAAACACAAGTCTTGCATCACACCACACACAAACGGACAGCTGCTCGCTCACAGAGACAGTCTACCTTTTTAGCCAGGACACATCCCATTTGACATTATGTTGACCATATTGTCTGGGAAAGTTGGAATATTGCCTGAGGCTGAGCTGGTTCATCCTGGGATTGGAAGAGAAGGTTTGGCTTTAGCTGCTCAGATTTGTCAGATTCAAGCTACTTCCTGAGGCAAATTCCCAAAGTTTCAGTGCAGCTCAAATAAATCACATTAACCTGCTATACAAGATTTTATGCAATATTTCATTAAGCCCCAATGCTCCATTATGGGATTTTGAAATTGATTCTAGTGTTGTAATCACAGTGAAGTTGACAGAGGGCTCAAGACACATTACATTTCACATTATCTATTTCATCAGACAGTTTACATGTCTGGTTAAGGTTAATAATAAAGCTGCACCCTTAAAATGAGTTCATTCAAGAGTGCGCAGAGCTGTCATCTGTACTAGACAAAGTGCCTACTTTGATGTAATATTTTAGTCACACTTAATTCCAATAATTACATTTGTATTATTTACCAGTTATTTTTATATAAACGTTTCTGATTGCAGTTATTAATATTAATGTTTTGATCTTAGTATTTTAAAATCTGAAAAAAAAAAGTAATTTAAATCATAATTTTCCATATGATTTGCATCCAGAAAACAGTAGTTTAAAGTGACTTTAAATTTCACTCAAATATTAAAATCCTGCCATATACTCACCCTCATGTCATTCCAAAATTGTATGACTTTCTTTCTTTCATTTTTCTACATAAGAAGATATTTGCATAAGAAGAACAATGTCTGTAACCAAAACAGCTTTGGTGATTAAATAATAAAAAATAAAAAAAAATTCTCAAAATAGCTTCAATGTTTCACAGAAGTCATATAGGTTTGGAACAACATTAAGGCGAGTAAATTAAGACAGCATTTTTATTTTTGTGAATTATCCCTTTAACACTTAAACTATAAGTAATAAACTAGACTGTAAAACACTAACATCTCCCTCTAGAGGTGCTCTGCTCGTAATAAAACATGTCTATCAACCCTTAATAACAGCATTAATACAAAGACAGAACTCATTTTTACACAGTGTTGTGAAAGTCATTTAATCAGTACAAGATTTTAGAAAAATCTATTCTTGATTATGAAAAGTTATAAATTCAAAGATGTTTTAGAAAGCTAAACAGCTCAACTAGACTGCAGAAAAAAAAAATCTAATTTTTTTGGTTGTCTTTTGTTGCTTAAAAATGAAGAAACAAAGGAAAATGAACCAGTAGTTCACAACACAATGTCTGTCATTGAGAGACTGATGAAAACTTTGACTTGAAGACCAAACAGAGAAAGAAACCTTACAAGAAAAATCAAACAAACAGAAAGATGCTCAAATACCTTTCAAAAAACGCCAGAACCTCCTTCAAAACCGGTTTTCGGGAGTCAAGAGCTCATCTAGAGAGGGCGACGGTGTTACAGGTTTTCACTTATCAATAGACCACTGTAGCTGAGAGCTGGTCTGAAGCTTGCGAAACGCAGAGGTGATTCTAACCGCAGAACAACACCCCTGCTAAAATATAATATGAAAATACAGTCCAACTCCATACATTTGACGGCCCTCCATGACAGGACTGCCTCTGTTCATTTGGGAAGGGGTTGTAGGGTAAGCGTACGGATCCAGACGAAGCAGGGGTCACTCCGTGGATCACCGGTGCATGGGCCTCAGGGGCTCTGTGGCTGTGGCAGCATCTGGAAACAGGTTATGGTACGTAGGGAGAGGCACGTAGGCAGCTGTGATCATTTTACCTGTTAAAGGGAAGGAGAGTGCGATTAATGTCATACACAACAACACAAGGCTTTCTATGGAGAGGAAAGATTGGTAGATGGTAGAAAGTGAGATTGGCTTACCTGCAAACCACCGACCGTGCAGGGCGCTGACAACAGCCATAGCTACTGGGATGGTTGCACACTTTACATAAACATTTCCCTGCCAAACGAGCAAAAATTAGGCTTTTTGGGAAAAAAGACAGGCAGCCTTTTTGAACCCTAGAATGTAGGGGCAAGTCTCAAAAAACATGCACATTTTACCCCAATATCACACACACTAATTTGCATTTAGAATATGAATAATCTTTTCAGGACCAATAGATTGTGATATTATTTTCAATTAATTATGACAAATAAGCATATTCCCCTAAATTCTCATAACCATAATGGGTCAGAAATTATTTCATAATTGCTATATTACCTATATGGTCATTTTCACTAAATTCCTAAAAAAAAATGTTTAAATTCAAATTTCTTTTTAAAAATGTAATTAAAATGGACTGAAAAGACGTTTTAAAAAAATTTGAAAAAAGTGAAAAATGGTTTTATTTTGTACAACAAACGCAATTGTTCAAACGTTTATTCAGAAAGTTGCATTAAAATAGTTTTTTTTTTTAATTGAGCAGAAAATCTGCATATTAGAATGATTTATGAAGTATCAGTAGTAGTTAGTATATTTTTATTTAATGCCATATCTATGAAGGATCATGTGACAAGACAAGTATTCAACTACTGTGGCTATAAAAAGCTTACACACACTGTTAATGTTGCTGCTTTTTAAATGTAAAACTTTACTGGTTTTCACATTGCATTGAAAGTGGTGACAAAAGTGACATTAACAGGGGTGTGTAGACTTTTTATAGCCACTGTATGAAGGTGACGACTTACTTCAGCAGAGTTCTTGTCGACGTATATGTGAACAATGCCTCCGTGTTTTCTGCACTCTTCGATGACATCATCCTTTATCTCCAGGTCCCAGCCAGGATCGTTTTCCCTACAAAGCAACACAACAAGAAATTTTATTATCAATTTCTTTCTTTTAAGAAGGACACATGCCATTCGACATCACATACACTATATTGTGAAGGATAGTTTTAATAATAAATGCAATTTACGTCTGTGGACTGAACATGTTGGAGAGCTGCAAACAGTGCGTAGCCAGTGGCTGACTTGGAAGGTTCATAGCTTGGTTCATCCCGGGATTGGGAACAAGAGGTTGTGTGGTTGAGGCTGTCAGTGGCACAAAAACATACATAACTGTCACTGTAAAGGCCTTTTCACATGAAAATTTGGAGCAATGAATCGAAACAATGGATCCCTATGGGGTTATTCACACCAGGTGCCATCTTTCGCGGCACGAAAAAGTGAGTTTTTTTTCCGTCCTGTTTTTTCCCTGTTGCTCTGCGACGAATTGGCTGTCCAATTAGATTTGAGCTTAGATCACGTGCCCGAAACAGTTGCTGTTGCACAAAAGAGTGAGAGTGGTGGCTCTGTTTTGATAAAACCAGTGTAAACAAACACCGAAAAAGCGTATTCGAGATACAAGATACATATCTGAGGAAAATGCATTGTTGGTCGGCGCCACCTAGCAGGCGTGAATTAGCAGAAGGCAATTAATCGTTTTGCGCTCGGTGTGAAAGCACCGTTTATCGGCGATTCGCCTCGCTTTTTCGCATCACACTCAGTGTGAAACGGCCTTAAGCCTTCTGAAGAATCAATAAATGGTGGGAACAACAAGCTCTGCTCAGATTTGTCAAATCGCCCCTAGGGGCAAATTCTCAGGACCTCAGTGCACTTCAAACTCCATCAACTTAATGGATTCTAACATAGGAATATGACAATTTCTCAAAGACGCACCATTTGCCAGATTTCCAAATGCCACAGAGCCGCTCATCTGTAAGGCCTGCTTAGCAGCAGCAGGAATCTGCAGTCCTGTACCTAAAAACATCCCAGAGACACGTATAAATGAGATTACAACAATGCAATATCATATGGAATAACAAATACACAAGTAGTTTGAATCAGTCATTGGCACATCTGAGAGACAGTAACGTGCAGCGTTTAATCTGTACCTTCTGCAAGTCTTGCCATCAGCTGAAGTCGACCTGTTGTGCCCAAGTCAATGCCAGTTCTCTCCAGTTCATCACTGTCCAGGAAGGAGCTTGCAGACGAGGCATCCGAACGCTCGGTAACATTACCCACCTTCATTGGCCGCCCCGCAAGCTCGAAACCATTTAGCTGCTCCAGGGCTTTTTTAGCACATTCTGCATCTGCAAACTGCACAAACAGACAGTTAATCAGCATTGGATTTATGACACAATGGCAAAATAGAACTGTCCTTGTCTTTCTGAAATGCAACATTTTTTTGCATTATGTAGATATAGCTATTATGTAGATATAGTGTTTCCTTTGCCAGTCACAACAGGATGAAAAAAGCTGCAAAAATGGATCATTTAGAAATCACAGATACAAACTCAACTTTATTATTACTATTATTTTTCTTAAATACTAGACTTAATTTTACAGTAAAATATTACAACAGTAATAATTCCTATTGTGTTTAATAAAAAAAATAAAAAAGATTATAATAGTTACTACTATCATACTGATAATCAAACTTTTTGGCCCTAAAATCACAAAAATCGCAATTCAAAAATTGCATTTTGATGAACTCACTGATATGAATCCGTATCCTTTCGATCTGCCAGTCTCACTGTCCATCATTAGCTGGATGCCCTCAATCTGAAAAGAGGGGGGGGAAAAAAACCTCACGTTAAGAGCAGATTCACTAGTTTTATCCTGGTTTAGCGGCTTATTTATGCATCTAAAACCATTTCAAATGCCAACTGCACCTTTCCAAACGGCTCAAAAATGCCCCTGAGCATGTCTTCAGTTATATTGAAGTGCAGGGAGCCCACATACAGCCGCATGGGTCCTGCACCGCCTCTCTGGAGCATGCTGGCCATGGCTGCTGCCCTGTTCTTCTCAGCCTGAAATACGCAAACAATTCAACAAAATGATTCACATGCACTGGATTAGGTAGCGGACAGGGGATTTGCAGTCCGTTAATGCTCTGACCTGTGAAGCCTGTACTATGATAGGCACTCCCAGAACCCTCTGCCCCGTCAGGCCGATCGCCAGCGGTACCGATGTCGCCTCCACAAACTCAATGTAGGCAATGCCCTTCGACCTCCGAGAGTTTCTATCCGAGATCATCCTTACGTCACGAACCTTAAACGATGGATACAAAAGCTCTCATGTGCTTTATTTGTCATTTAACATCAGTAAATGGAGAGTAAAAAAGAAAGAACCACCAAAAAAATGTATCACAACTAAGTTGGTTTTAATTAAGGGCATCATACTTTTCCCACTGCAGAGAAGAAATCTTCCAGATCTCTGGGTCTAATTCTGGCAGCGAGCTGCATGCAGAACACTGTACGGGCGTCTCTCTCCTCTGGGCTCAGATTATCTAAAGGTTGCCTGTTTGAAGAAACACACAGGTCATCAACCACTGAAACACAAATCATTCGCTCTGGAAATAAAGCTTATGCTCATGGACATTCCCACAACATAAACAATTTTCTAACCATAAATAAAGATCATGGCCATTCCATAAAGTTTATCTTTTAAAATATAAACTACTAGGTTTAAATTCATATCTCTTGGCCACAAGATAATGTACTGAAATGAAAATCCTGTTCTAAGTTCTATATAACTGAACACACTGCAAAACGTCTTATTAAAGTAAAACATATCTAAACATACTTAAAACAAGGCATTGAGAAGCAAGATCCTGTAAAATATTAAGAGATGTTTTACATATCATATTTTTCTTGACCTATTGGCAAAATTTGAAACATAAGTTACATTTATGCTTAAAACCTCTTTATTTTACCTTGAAAATAATGATTAAGAAGATTTGCAGGCTAACGTGCTCAAGATTTAAGACAATATAACTTGATATTTGATAAGTTATTTTATTTTATAAGTTCATAAAATAAAACCAGAATACAAACATTATATTTCACCTGTATATGAGCTTTTTGTGTTTTGAAATAGTGTGCAAACAATGTACTCCAAGAATGTATATAGCCTAAATATGCTAAATCAGATTTTATACTAAATTTGACACCAAATTGAGACTCTTTAGGAGTGAATCAAGTTAATCAATATTATATTATATTAGACTAGATTATCCATGACTTCAAACAGAATAAATACGTTTTAAAAACATTCATGTCAGGCTAAAAGGACCTTATCATTCTCTATTAAAATGACATTTTGTGTATTTCTATTGACTATACTGAACAACATTAATGAATTGAAACAACTGCACCATTATGTACACGTTTCTGAGAGCTGTAGGCTTGATGTATAATATGAAGTATGAGGCAGAAGAGTTAACAGTGCCTTTAACACCTTTTAAAAATAACTGCACCCACTTCCTTTTCTCAGCTTAAGTGCATTAAGATGGCAGATTTCTCCTTGCCTCTTCTTAGTGTCATATAAAATAAATAACATGTCACATGTGGTTATGGAATAATTTGCGGTAATACTTTACTCTTAAATACAAAGGTTCCAAAAGGGGGTTTTCATAGTGATACAACAGAACTACCATTTTGGGTTCCCCAAAGAATTTTTCAGTGAACAGTTCTTAAAAGAACCATGTTTTCTTAGTGTGAAGAATACTTTAATAATCTGAAGAACATATTTCCATTATAAAGAACCGTTTGTGCACTGGAAAGGTTCCATGGATGTTACAGGTTCTTCATGGAACCATCAGTGCCAATTAAGGACCTTTTTAAGGTGTTCAATACTTCAGTACTACAGCAGCGTCAGACAGTGCTGAGCGTCTCACCTGACAGGGCTTTTGTCCTTCTTAAATGGGCTTCTGCTCCGAGAGCGCCTGCGACTAGAGTCAGAATACTCCGTCAGTCTGTGTTTCTCATCCATCCGTGTATGATTACTCATGACAGATGTACACATCAGCACACATTCAGCACACAACAGGCAGCAAGAGTCACAGATGAGATCACCTGTGTTTGGTGAAATGTTGTGGGCCGGTCTTCCCTCCGGGACCACCATTTAATTTCGGCCCCATACTATGACACATAAAACAAGGGTTTGTCTCAGCGTTAAAGCAGTCAACTTTCAGCCATCGTGGCCATGCGAGGGCTACTACATACTGGTGCAGGAGGGCAAGTATCCAGTGAAAACCCATTGCAAGCCATGCCAAAACTATGTCTGCCTTCCCAAGATTTTTTTTTATTATTATTGATAGTGTGAAAAAGAGAGACCAAACATGAGTTATGCAATGATATTGGTAGAAATCACATGTACGATTTCAGCTTCTTTAAAAATCATGTTAAACAGCCAAATTAACGTGGAAAAACTACACTACCCATAACCCTAACCCTATATTATATTATATGTGAAGATAAAGTAAAGGTAATGTTCCATGAAGATATTTTGTAAATTTCCTAGCGTAAATAAACGATTAGTAATATGCATTGCTATGAACTTCATTTGGACACACTTTAAAGGCGATTTTCTCAATATTTAGATTTTTTTGCACACTCAAGATTCCAGATTTTCAAATAGTTGAATCTCGGCCAAATATTGTCCTCTCCTAACAAACCAACCATACATAAACGGAAAGCTTATTTATTCGGCTTACAGATGATGTATAAATCTCAATTTCAAAAACTTGACCCTTATGACTGGTTTTGTGGTCCAGGGTCACATATTATATTGAAATTTATTTTATGGAAAAAATGCAACCATGGTCACTGAAAAAGTAGGCGATCACTGTTTCCTCTGTAAGGGCATTATATTATATTATGATGAATATTTTAAGAAACCCAATGGAAAAATATATATTTTTGCAATCATGATCACTGAAGAAGTGGGCGATGACTGCTTGCTCCATAAGGGCATGCTGAGTCATGTGACTGCAACTGGCCAATGAACTTGCGGTTAAGGTGTCCTGCATGAACCAGAACACAGTAGGCCTGGATGGACGTCGCCTCCAGGTTTTCTATTCTGAGAATTCCTCAAAACAAGCACCAGGCATCTTCAAAAACATTGCAATGTGCCGCAGCGTAAAGGAATGTAAGATTCAAGCAAGACACTGACCACTCTCTAGTTACAACAAACTAAACTATGCTTCCCATATACACAACATGTGGCAATATATTCAAATTGGTCCATGGTCTGTGAAAAAAAAGGAAAATTCTGTCATCATTTACTCACCCTCATGTTGTTCCAAACCTGTATGACTTGAACTCATCTTTAAAACATACAGTATAGCTCATGAAATCTGGTAAACAGAAGTTTAACTGTGCTTACTTGCTGGGTAAAAACCAATGAGGTTTGCACAGTTGAGCTTACGTTTATCATATTTTATAAGCTATATACATGTGCGTTCATCAATGTTCATTTGGGAATAAAAGCATGCAATGTGTGCATGTTTCTTTGGAAGACTTGGATTAAACTGCAAAAATCATATTGATTACTTTTACTATGTCTTAATGAACTTTTCAAAGCTTGAAATTTTAGTTTGAAAGGACAAAAAAGATGATCTCTTCATTTGTGTTCTGAAGTCTTACGGGTTTTGGAACGTCATGAGGGTCGAATTTTCATTTCTGGGCGAACCATTTCTTTAACTATTTTACTGTGTTGTTGATGACCGAGTGACAATTTACAACACTGAATACCCAAGATAACCCAAGAAAAATAACATAGATTCTAAATTGAACAATCGGGGGTTAACTTACAAGGGGGTTTTGCGTCCACCATAACGTCCACCCCGATCCTTGCTGCGGGATCGCGACCGCTTCTGTTCTCTGCTCCGTGAAAGTTTCTGCTCGCGGCTACGGCTCCTGCGTCGCTCGTGGCTCTTCTTGCGGCCCCCGCTTCTACTCCCCTGCCGACCTGGGCTCGGACTACGACTGCCGCTGCGTCTTTTCCTACGTGAAAAAATAAGACACAAATTAATTAATTACCAACATGCGTACTTAATTTACCCGAAAAGCAGGATGACAAAAATACAGAAGGTTTTTGCTTACTTTTTGCTGCGTTCCTCATTATGACCATCGGCGCTAGAGGACTTGCTTTCACCCTGAACAGGATTGATAAAAGAACAACATGAGGATGGAGAGGAAACATTGGAAATTAAGAAGGGAGGGGGATAAGAGAAAAAAGAGAAATGCTACTATTGTTGGCTCCTTTATGATAAATTGCTTGTGTTTTTCCTCGTTTTATCACTTTGGATAAAAGCGTGTACAAATTGAATGTAATCAAATGATCTGTTGTAAATAATCAGAGGTGAGGGGGGCCTGTCTTTAACTTTTTGAAAACTGTCAGTTAAGTTCAAGGTCTTGACATGCTAAGCCATGTGTTTTTAGGGTAGTATAGGTACCCTGCTATTTTTAGCCTAAGTCTTGTTGTTGTCATGCTATAGAGCTGCTAAAGGGCATTCCAGAGTGAAGGCTGTCAGTCCGTGTGATCTTCCCCAGTTTGCGCTGTTGGACTGTGAGAGCTCGATGCCATCTCTGTCTCACAGCTTGTCCTGAAGCAGACAGGGATTTACATGGCTTAGTCATATCGCCTCCCAAAAGACACCGCATCAAAGTCAGCCAAAAAAAAACACAACTTAAAACCTCATCAAAAGATTTTCAGGGCTTTTTTCCGCATTTGTCTCATTTTGACAATTATGACAGGCATTTTTCGTTGATTTAGAAAAAAACTAATAAAAATTATATTTATATCTACCTTTACTGATAAAAATTATTATTGGGTAAAGCATTTTAAATAGCAAACAGTTTTATGATAAAGAGATATTACTAAGTACATGCACAAACCAAATGCCAATGTCAGCGGTTTTAGAGACCATCAAAACATTGGGTAGAGAGACAGTATTCATATTTAGAAACTTAAAATTAATTTATAGGACAATTCTGCTCTTTTCAGGTTTGAACACTGAAGATGACCTTCAGTAAAGTTCAAGTACAGTCCAGGGCTTCAGGGTTTAAATTCTTGACTCCAGGTCCAATGAGAAGGCTACACCATATAAAATGCCATTTGCAATAAATATTACTTCCATAATATGAAGAATTTCTGAGTTCAACATTTTTATTTATTTTTTTTAATGTTGGGCAGCGGTTGATTTTATCCATTTACAGCGTATGTCTATGGTGTATAGTATGTACACCACCATTCAAAAGTTTGCGGTCAACAAGAGGTTTTTATTTTTTGTATTTTTTATTAATACTTTAATTCAGCAAGGATGTATTAAATTGATGAAAAGTGACAGTAAAGACAATGTTACAAAAGATTTATATTTCAAATAATACTGTTCTTGTGAACGTTCTATTTATCAAAGAATACTGAAAACATTGATAATAATAAGAAATGTTTCTTGAACAGCAAATCAGAATATTAGAAGGATTACTGAAGGATCATGTGACACTGAAGGCTGGAGTAATGATACTGAATTTTTTTTCAATTATATTAAAATAGAAAACAGATATTATAAAGATATCTCACAAACCACAATATTACTGTTTTTACAACATTTTTAATCAAATTCAGTCTTGGTGAGCACAAGACTTCTTTTCAAAACATTACAAATAATCTTACCAACCCTAGAATTTTGAGTAGCGTATATTTTTCTTCCACTGCATCAGATTCACCTTCAACAGATTTTTGGTGACATGGCTGAAACCTGAATACTGTCTCTGCTCCATGTCACATTGTGTTTCATCTATTGGCATTCATTCACCGTTATGAAACCAAATTGATTTAAAGGTGTATGGTGGCGGTCTATTTGTATTTTGGATCAAAGTACATTAATACATTGCGCAATTACTACCTTACTTTTTTTCACAGTTCACACTGGAATCAAAGATGTATTCAGGGGAGTAGAGGTGAGATATCATTAGGCAAGTCTATAAAGAGAGATAGATGGGCATTTATTTGTAATTCAGGATATCACACTCTCTCTCATACACATTACACAATCTTACACTTTAGGCAGGCACAGACAATAAAAGCAGGGTTTCTGAGTAGCCATATGACAACACGAGTTCAATTCACACACAAATAAAAAATTTGATTATTGTTTATCCACCCATGCTGTTCCAAAACTTCATTCTACTGAACAATAAAAGGAGAAACTCCGAATTTCTGAAATGTTTACCAATTAAAATGTATAGGCAAGTTATCCTTACCAAGAAATTCCCCTGTGGAAAAAAACTAATTCGATTTTTAGTTCTGGAACCTGACTACTGTACTCATACAGACTATTTTTGGGGTGCTTTTTGAAATTTTTTTAGCTTAAAAGCTTCAGTCCTCTTTCATGACTCTACATGGATAGAAGCAATTTTCAAAATTTCTCCCTTTGTGCTCATCATTAGAATGATATGCATACGGGTTGGAAAATGCATACAGATGAATAAACTATGACACATTTTTATTGAACTAATTCTTAAATGCCTACAAAAAAAAGCTCGTCAACTTCCGGTCGTCCACCCACCTTCTTATAAGGAGCTTCCAGCATGGCCTCAACGTCGAAGTCATCCGCCATTCTGACCTGCTGAATATGAAAAGAGCAACATACATTTTACAAACACAGCCAACCTGATGAGTTATAGTTTGCGGTTCCGTTTAAGCACTCGTTCATCGACGGAGCAAAAAAAAAAAACATCTTACAGTCGAGCTGTGCTGCTGCTCGATTCTGCGGTAAACGCTCTCCAGACAACAACAGCATTACATAAGCAGCTACCGTTAAGTTAGACGCCACGTTCGTGTCCAAATATGACAGAATACTGTAATTTGTTATATTTCCATTTAATTTCGAGCCCAACTCCTAATTAGACCAATAGCTGCTTGTTGGCAACAATTACCTGGTTTTATTTAGCACTCCGGTTACCGTCGCGACCTCTTCGACGCGCGTGTGAAGTTTAACAGTAAACACAGCTGCGAGGCAACCGGTCCGATCCGCCTATAGACGAGCAAAACATACAACGAATAATCATTCAAGAAAAAACAAATACCGATGTATGTATCTGTGGATATTTAATAAGCTCAGTTCAGTTTGTCATGAGGTTTCCCTCACAAAACAACTTCCTGCTTTACCCAAAATGGACGCTGCGAGGGGCAGGGTTTCCTATCGTTTCGTAATGTAAGTTAGATAAAAGTCGAGGAAAGCAGAATTTTGAGTTTCTGTTCTTGTTCTTTCTGTGTGGTTATTCTTGCAGAATCTGCAGTGCGTTTGTTTCTTTAAATACCACCCTTAATAGACCTGCTCTGTTTATTGCACAATTCCCACATGCATAGCAGAAATTAGTTTAGCGCTTTGTAAACAAGGGCGGAGTCGTAAAGGCTATAAAGATTATATCTAGAAAGGCTCGAATTAAAATTTAATTTAGGCTACATGAATATTACATGTAATGTATACACTTATAAAGTAATATGTATGTAAATTAAAATCTAATATCTGCATCTATATTAGCTATATAATGTATAATATGCAGTTTTATATTATGTTATAATTAATGATAATTACTTCATTTGAGAAAGTGTTTATATATGTATTTTAACTCAAATAAGTTAATTCAAACGCATAATATTAATGTTTTAATTGTTGATATTATTGTAGGGTATAGTTTTCTTCTCATTCTAATGACAGTTCTTCACACGTCTTTACAGCTGTCTGAAACAATTGTCCAAAGCAAAATTTAGGGATATTATTTTTAATAAAATAATTTTTATTAAAATATGTTGGCAAAATAGACACCCATATCTTTAAATAATGTTCATTACATGGTTTAAAGATTAAAAAGATTTTTATTTGATAATTATTGCTTTAATTTCCCAGACCTCACAGCCATGATAAAGTCTTGTACTAGCTACCCGTTTAAGAGTTAGCATCTTTTTCACTTTTAATTCAATATGTCACTTGTTGTTTAGTTACTTGTAATTATTTGTGATATTTCTGAGTGAAAATTGTTTGAAAATTGGTTCAGTGCAGTGGTTCAGAAATGTAGCCTAGACATAGTTTATGTAAATATCTTCAATTACAAATATCCAAAACAACAACAAAATTCACTTTTATAGGTCAAAGTCTTTTTTCTAAGATTTATTTTTGGCATTTTCGCCTTTATTATGATAGGACAGGTCAGAACTGAGAGGAAGCGAAGTGGGAAAGAGATGGGGCGGGATCGGGAAAGGTTTAAATTAAATTTCTCAAAACTCAAACTCAAGACTCAAACTCGGGATGTCGGTAGTGCAACGGCCAGGGCCGGATTTACCTCTTTTCGTGACATAGGCAAAATTATATCTTCTAAATGCGAATTTTGTCACTGTTTTGGAGCACACTGCCTTATAGATAACCTTAAGACTAACATATTGATACTAACACCCAAAAAACTTTAATTTTGATTTCATGGGGACTTTAACGGGGTCATAAGATGTTGCTAAAAAGAACATTATTTTGTGTATTTGGTGTAATGAAATGTGTTTATGCGGTTTAAGGTTCAAAAAACACATTATTTTCCACATACTGTACATTATTGTTTCTCCTCTATGCCCCGCCTTTCTGAAACGCGTCGATTTTTACAAAGCTCATCGGTCTGA